GAGCAGGGAATATTCTTCCACTTCTCTAGGCTTTTTTTTGTTTCTTGTAATAATGTTTTGTAATTTTCTTTGAATAGATCTTTTGTGCTTCTAGTTATATTTACTCCCAAATATTTAATCTTGTGATTAGCTATTGTGAAGGGTATTGCTTTTCTTAGCTCCAGCTCTGTATTCTCTTTGTCATTGTAACAACAACCTTTCTTAAAGGCTCAGTGGTTCCATGTCCCCATGGCCACCAGTGCCTGCACATCCCCCCTCACCTCCTGCCTCCCACTCCCCTCGTCACGGAGTTCCAGCCAACGGGTTGCCTTGCAGTTCATCTGATAGATACTCATTCTGCCTGCAAATCTCTTACCATCTCTTAGTCACTCGGCCTAGAAAGTGCTTCCTCTAACTCTTTAATTCTGGTTCCTTCTCACCATCCACGTCTCATTTCAAGTCCCATGTAAAGGGACTCTCCTCACCAAAGTCACTTACAGAGTTTGTTTATTCAAACTATAGACACCTGGTGCTCTCCATTTTACTTTCGGAAAATGACCCATCTCTCTCTGGGATGTAACTTTTCTAATAAAAGTGTCTTTACTTTCATCTTCAAACAAAACAAAAAACTATAAACGTCTATGTACTTAGAAAGTGTCAGCTTGGTGTAGGCAAGAACTTTATGTCATTTCAAATTATAGTCCCAACACCTAAGAGAGGGCCTGTTATACAGTAGGTGCTCATTATTTGTTGACTGACAAATGTTTTCTTAGCGAGAAGAATCATCCAAGTGCAGAACAGTGCATGTGGCACAATTCCTCTCCCTTGAATAGCTGGCATAGGCTTCTATGTGCGTATTTCTGAAATGCTCACAGGAAATTGCCTCCAGCAGATCTGAGATGTGAAGAGCTCTTTTGTAGCATGTGAACTTTTTTATTTTTTTTTTTAACCCTGACCACAGATTACTTTGTACTCAACAATAATTTAATTAGAAAAAAGAAATCAACTGGTTGGTATAGCTATAGAGTTTGAAACTTTTAAATTAGGTTTAGAAATAAAATTCCAGGTTTCCATAGAAGAGCTAGGACTGACCTCTGGCCAAGGCACCTGATGCACAACCACCTGTCAGTGGAGACCTGCATTTTGTTATAATGCTAAACAGACTGTGGTGGATCTGTCAGATTAGAGAACTAGAAAGAAAGCCCTGGCTATGATGGGCCCGTCTACACTTCACCTTGGGGATGGCGCAAACCTGGACAGCATTTCATCCCACTGTGTGCAGAGTGACCACGTGTCAAGACTCTCTGATGACAACCATGGTGGGCACCTTCCGATGCTTACTGCTTACGAGTGAGGGGCCCTGCCCATTTACAGCATTTGATAAGCCTGAGCAGGCGGGGGCAAGGTAGAGACCTCGGCGGTGGAACCACACTGACTTCACTCGACATCACCAACTGCTGCCCGTGGCTTTCAGCGCTCACCATGGACGACGTGGAGTCCAGCAGGCTCACCACCTTCATCTCAATGTCCTCCTCGCCAGAGTCCTTCAGCAGTTTCATGACTTCGCTCACGGTCAGCCACTTACAATCCACATCCTGAACAGCAACAAT